AAAATTGCAAAAATTCCTGAAAATTTCAAAAATCGCAAAAATTCCTGAAAATTGCAAAAATCGCAAAAATGCCTGAAAATTGCAAAAATTCCTGAAAATTGCTAAAATCGCAAAAATTCCTGAAAATTGCAAAAATCGCAAAAATTCCTGAAAATTGCAAAAATTGCAAAAATTCCTGAAAATTTCAAAAATCGCAAAAATTCCTGAAAATTGCAAAAATTGCAAAAATTCCTGAAATTTCAAAAATCGCAAAAATTCCTGAAAATTGCTAAAATCGCAAAAATTCCTGAAAATTGCAAAAATCGCAAAATTCCTGAAAATTTCAAAAATCGCACAATTTCTGAAATTGCAAAAATCGCAAAAATGCCTGAAAATTGCAAAAATCGCAAAAATTCCTGAAAATTGCAAAAATTGCAAAAATTCCTGAAAATTTCAAAAATCGCAAAAATTCCTGAAACTTGCAAAAATCGCAAAAATTCCTGAAAATTGCAAAAATCGCAAAAATTCCTGAAAATTGCAAAAATTGCAAAAATTCCTGAAATTTCAAAAATCGCAAAAATTCCTGAATATTGCAAAAATCGCATAAATGCCTGAAAATTGCAAAAATTGCAAAAATTCCTGAAAATTTCAAAAATCGCAAAAATGCCTGAAAATTGCAAAAATCGCAAAAATTCCTGAAAATTGCAAAAATGCAAAAATTCCTGAAAATTTCAAAAATCGCAAAAATTCCTGAAAATTGCAAAAATCGCAAAAATTCCTGAAAATTGCAAAAATCGCAAAAATTCCTGAAAATTGCAAAAATTGCAAAATTCCTGAAAATTTCAAAAATCGCAAAAATTCCTGAATATTGCAAAAATCGCATAAATGCCTGAAAATTGCAAAAATTGCAAAAATTCCTGAAAATTTCAAAAATCGCAAAAATTTGCAAAAATTGCAAAAATTCCTGAAAATTTCAAAAATCGCAAAAATCCTGAATATTGCAAAAATCGCATAAATTCCTGAAAATTGCAAAAATTGCAAAAATTCCTGAAAATTTCAAAAATCGCAAAAATCGCAAAAATTCCTGAAAATTGCAAAAATTGCAAAATTGCAAAAATTCCTGAAAATTGCATAAATTCCTGAAAATTTCAAAAATTCCTGAAAATTGCAAAAATTGCAAAAATTCCTGAAAATTGCAAAAATCGCAAAAATTCCTGAAAATTGCAAAAATCGCAAAAATTCCTGAAAATTGCAAAAATTGCAAAAATTCCTGAAAATTTCAAAAATCGCAAAAATTCCTGAAAATTGCAAAAATCGCAAAAATGCCTGAAAATTGCAAAAATTCCTGAAAATTGCAAAAATCGCAAAATTTCCTGAAAATTGCAGAAATCGCAAAAATTCCTGAAAATAGCAAAAATCGCAAAATGCCTGAAAATTGCAAAAATTCCTGAAAATTGCAAAAATCGCAAAAATTCCTGAAAATTGCAAAAATCGCGAAAATTCCTGAAAATTGCAAAATTTCTGAAAATTTCAAAAATCGCAAAAATTCCTGAAAATTGCAAAAATCGCAAAAATTCCTGAAAATTGCAAAAATTGCAAAAATCCTGAAAATTTCAAAAATCGCAAAAATTCCTGAAAATTGCAAATATCGCAAAAATTCCTGAAAATTGCAGAAATCGCAAAAATTCCTGAAAATTGCAAAAATTGCAAAAATCGCAAAAATTCCTGAAAATTGCAAAAATCGCAAAAATTCCTGAAAATTGCAAAATTTGCAAAAATTTCTGAAAATTTCAAAAATCGCAAAAATTCCTGAAAATTGCAAAAATCGCAAAAATTCCTGAAAATTGCAAAAATTGCAAAAATTCCTGAAATTGCAAAAATTGCAAAATTTCAAAAATTTCAAAAATCTCAAAATTCCTGAAAATTGCAAAAATCGCAAAAATGCCTGAAAATTGCAAAAATCGCAAAAATTCCTGAAAATTGCAAAAATTGCAAAAATTCCTGAAAATTTCAAAAATCGCAAAAATTCCTGAAAATTGCAAAAATTGCAAAAATTCCTGAAAATTGCGAAAATCGCAAAAATTCCTGAAAATTTCAAAAATTCTTGAAAATTGCAAAAATCGCAAAATTCCTGAAAATTGCAAAAATCGCAAAAATTCCTGAAAATTGCAAAAATCGCAAAAATGCCTGAAAATTGCGAAAATTCCTGAAAATTGCAAAAATCGCAAAATTCCTGAAAATTGCAAAAATTGCAAAAATTCCTGAAAATTTCAAAAATCGCAAAAATTCCTGAAAATTGCAAAAATCGCAAAAAGGCCTGAAAATTGCAAAAGTTCCTGAAAATTGCTAAAATCGCAAAAATTCCTGAAATTGCAAAAATCGCAAAAATTCCTGAAAATTGCAAAAATTGCAAAAATTCCTGAAAATTTCAAAAATCGCAAAAATTCCTGAAAATTGCTAAAATCGCAAAAATTCCTGAAAATTGCAAAAATCGCAAAAATTCCTGAAAATTGCAAAAATTGCAAAAATTCCTGAAAATTTCAAAAATCGCAAAAATTCCTGAAAATTGCAAAAATTCCTGAAAATTGCTAAAATCGCAAAAATTCCTGAAAATTGCAAAAATCGCAAAAATTCCTGAAAATTGCAAAAATTCCTGAAAATTTCAAAAATCGCAAAAATTCCTGAAAATTGCAGAAATCGCAAAAATTCCTGAAAATTGCAAAAATTGCAAAAATTCCTGAAAATTTCAAAAATCGCAAAAATTCCTGAAAATAGCAAAAATTGCAAAAATTCCTGAAAATTGCCCTGAAAATTTCAAAAATCGCAAAAATTCCTGAAAATTGCAAAAATCGCAAAAATGCCTGAAAATTGCAAAAATTCCAAAAATTCCTGAAAATTGCAAAAATCGCAAAAATTCCTCCTATTAAGTTTTATTCAACGACAGGCCTCCAACATCTTTTTGATAACTTGATTATAATTGGTCACTTGACAATCTTGCGTCATCAGTGGAAACGGAAGATTATCTGACAAATAACGAAACAGCATAACAACTGACGTCACCATTTATTAGACGTATCGCCAAATGGCGGCCATGAAGGTTCGTTTGAAATGACCTCTGAAATTCAATAATTTCAAACAATGCATAGACTCATTGTTCACATAAAGAAAAGCGGTGAGAAGTGTTGCAAACATCAATTAGGGCTCCTAACAAGACAGTGGAGTGATTGAATGCCAATAATTCATTATCAGCCCATTGAACAATGTTCCATTTTATGCAGAAACTAGCCCAAGTAATAACAAACTATCATATTAAATTTCTCCATCTTTTTGAATACCAAATATCGTATTTCCGTCAAGTAAATTTCCCAAGTACGGCCCTGCTTTATAGAAACTGCTGAACGATTCCGTCACGTTAACAGCCACAGCCAATCAAAAATTAGGAACAAAACAATTGAACAGATACGAAATTGTAGATGAATCTGGAGGTTTAGAGATAAAGGTTATGATTTTTGCTATGAAATATTCCTTGAAAATGAGTGTTTTTGGGGAATGCGTTCTAGTGAAATACTTTAATGAATCCTCTCATAGTGCTGTACCCAATGAACTCAATATGCTGACAAAATAAATTGAGTGAAAAACATACTTCCAAACTTCATTGCCCTGTTCATTACCGGCAATTCAGCATCTATGAAAAGGTCCATCACAGATTCGGGATAGAAAATAAGCGTACGCCACCTATCGGAGTTCTTGAAAGCTGTCAGAGCAGCATGTATACTTTGTTTTCATTGGTTCACATTCGTTTTTTGTTCGTGCATATTGGTCATATCATCGAAACAAACCGCTCAGAAGTGTTCAAGTTGCTGCCGTCAGGTGGGGCGACGTTTCATTTTCTACAAGGTTGGTAGAACTGATTATAATACAAAATAATCATCAGTTCCAACCTTGATTTTCTATTGCAAATACTCTTATTTGATACTGAAAATTGCCATGAATATGATGTAGTAATAATGGTATCTGAGTTAAGATTCAATAGGTAGGTAGGTATGTTTGTTTTCATTTGATGAAGTGATTAATTGATATGATCTATAGAGAATGTCTAGTCCAGAAAACCTGATTAGTAAGCTCTCACCATAGCATCAAGTGAAACAGGTAATTATATGAAATACCATGGACATATATCTTTTTTATAGGTCCATGTGAAATACATACAGTTAGGTGAGGTGTGAAACTTGTGAAAGTGCATTTATGAACTCAAAACTACACTCTAAGAATTACCAGTTAAATTAAGAATCCAAGAAGCTCATTTGTTAAACAATTCAAACAGTCCAATCAGCTTTAAAGGATTCTTAGTTGAGTTCATACATTTATGGAGACATTTACAATAATTGAAAAGCTCAAAAACACACTTATTCCAGTGGAAATTAGTGTTTAAGTAGTACCAGGGTTTTAATACTAATCATGCTAAATAGTATTGCAATTTGTTTTTGTGGCCACCTTTTCATAATAATGAAGTAGAATGAGATATAATGAAAAGTGCTAATTTTCATTCAAATTAAAAAAGTACCAACATCTTTAGTAGCAATTCCAGTGGAATTAATATAACTTGGATAGAAATAACCACAAAGATACAGGGTGTTACATAAAATCTGTGTCAACTGGCATATAAAGCTTACAAAAAAAAATATTCATGTGAATAAACTGATGATGATTTTTAATTATTATCATTTCTGAAACATCCAGCTTTGACTACATTTTTAACTCATAATCAATAGGTATTCATGTAGCAGCTAAGTGAAGAAAAATACAATACCATGTTGAATATAAATTGTCATAAATTTTTTACAATAAAATGAGAAACACTGTACATACATATGTTTTATTACAAATATTATTTGGACAAATAAAAAAATTCCCATAATTTCCCATGATAATCATGAACTTTCAAATATAGATCAATTCCAACAAAGGCAATAAAACCTCATACATTTTAATATTGGTCTCAATATTAGTTTTGAACTTACCTCAGAAAAGCTGAAGAATAGTCCTATCCATCCACACAATTTGAAGGCATAGTTTATTGTACTTTGTAGTTTTTCCAAACAATGTGGACATGTACAATCAAGTACTGTTGGGTCCATACAACAGTGTGGCTAAAATCATGAAATATTCAAAAAATCTTGATAACTGTAGAATTATTCAATGAAACAAATTATTTACCTGTACTGCCTCACAAGATGGATGATGATACTGATAATTAGCATCCCTGTCAACAATATCATCAAAACCACAGCAAGTGAAAACTTCCTGTACACTAGACCTAGTCTTGTTGTCTACCTTTTTCCAACCCTGTTCTGCCAGCTGGGTTTGCTGTTCATTGTTAACCCCCAAACAGGCACAAGCAACAGAAAATTGAATGAGGAACAACAAGAACAAAATCACCATGTACTGAGAAAAAGTTAAGGAATAGATTCTTCACTTAAAAAGTCCTTACTTGCTAATAATATGTTCAATTGGATAATGACCTACCTAAATCATCCTTTTTCCTGTCTCTCATTATTTATATTGAAGGATACGAAAAACAGCAAAACTTGGTGGTGTTTGACAGCCCCTAATAGTCCTAACACAGATATTAGTATTAGGAGAATGCCACAGGCTAAAATACCACCCACTATGGGCAAATTCGTGACAATAGATGCAGCCCTTCCATATACTGCAACCCCTATGAGCACAAATGCGACCATCTGAAAATTTTGTATGATTTGATTTTATATTATGAATGAAAAGTCTCAACTCACAATATACAATACGTTGAGGGCAATGAGAGCATTCTTCGAGCAAGTGAAACCTCCACACATTTTAATAGTTTGGATTCATATACCTGAAAGAATAAAAGAAATCGAAAGCAAATTGTGTTTTGCTTGCTGTTGAAACTTGACTTGATTCTGAAATGACAACTGACTTTGTGTGACATTGACTCTTTGACAAGAAACAAGATTGAAATGACAGCAGTGTAGCCAGCTGCTGAACTGCAATGTCGCAAATTGATAAGCGATCGAAGCGAGCAGAAAGCCCGCCGCAGGCAAAACTTCTGAAAATGTTGCGAAATATGTCCATGACTAAGCGAAGTTTTTGATCATTTTGTCATTTTCAGTTATAACATCAGATGAAAAAATCGTATAAAACTATATTGAAAAGGAACATTCTCAGATATATACATTAAAAATCTGTTCAGAAAACAAGCAAAAAACAAAATGATAATAAATTTTCCTATAAAATTTCATTCGGTATTACGAGGTAAATACATAAATTGGTAAATCACAAAATTAATTTCTCGGTCGTATCTGATGTATTTGTTTGATCAAATCACACATTAATGAACCTGTCAAACCATGTCAACTCATATTTCTAGATCAACATCATACAGATCTGCGACTTCAGTACTGATTTAGGATTTAGGCAAAATAAAATGTTCACGAGCATCATATAATTTTTCAAACCTTCATCGAATATACAGAAATGACAAATTGACAAAATATCATTCAAAAGTGGCAGAAACTGTTTCTGTCTTCGTATTTTGAAAGTGAATTCTGTCATATGTCAGCCTTCCCATTTCAATCTGTCAAAGTCAACTTCGCTATTTCGATGTTCAATTGTCATTTCTTCTTCTTTCACAATCCGTGGCTGTTCACGTGGTGGTTTTCCATTATTAGTAAATTTTGATGTAGCAGTATTTGAAGTAAAATGGTAAAAATAAATAATGCAGAGACTCTCTCTTTGGATAAAAGCAAACAACGAAAAGTCGCCAAAGCAACGCATAAGCTCAAGAAAAAAATCGTGGTAAGAAATCCCAGAATTCAACCAATAAATACTTTCTAACCTCTCAATTTTCTTCACAGAGTGGTTTAGTATCTATCAAAGAAAAACGAAAAGGCCAGAAAGTAACGGCTGAACAGAAAAGAGGCTTATTGTATATATCACATCTACCTCATGGCTTTTATGAAACAGAATTGAAAGCATACTTTCAACAATTTGGAAGAGTTACCAATGTCAAGGTATGCAGGTCTAATAGAACTGGGAACAGTAAAGGTTTTGGATATGTTGAATTTTCACATCCAGAAGTTGCCAAAATCGCTGCTGAAACAATGAATAATTACCTTATGTTCAAAAAAAGAGTCACAGGTAAGTCTAATTCATTTCATCTGATGTTATGGTGAAGGAAAAAATATTCTCAAGAATTAGTGTACTTTCTTTTTAGCTGAATATGTTCCATATGAGAAAAGACCAAAATCTTTATTCCTTGGTAAAAGCAGTAACCCTGACAGATATTCTTCCAAAGTAAGAAGAGAAAAACAATATCAGAAAAATATCAATCTTGATGATACAGCACATTCAAAAAGAACTGTTTCACGAGTATCAAAACTGAATAAAAAGTTACAGAGGTTACAAAGTTTAGGTATAAAAACTACCTTCAAACCTATTGACTTGACTGTGATTAAACAGGAGAGCTCTGCAGGAATCACTATTCCTGATTCTGCTCCTAGCCTTCCCAATAACTATGAAGCTTTAGACTCTGACATAGAAGTGAAACTCCCTTTGAAAAAATCAAGAAGATCTCTGAGATCCTTGACCAACAAAACTACATCCCCAAATTGGAGTAGCTTGTCAACTACTGTATCCAAAAATAGGATGGTGCTAGCAAAATCATTGGACTCTGTGAAAGCTGTCCTGTCTTCTAAAACTAACAAAAATCTGGACACTGAAAACACCCCTTCAAAACAAACCCTTTTGGTACCAGATTCACCTGTGAAGGCTGAGAAGAAACCAAGAAAGAAACCCATTTCAAATTTGAAAAGTATTTCAAAGAAAACCAAGAAGGCAGCCTCTATGAATGCTGATACAGTGAGAAAAATAGCAAGAGAACTAATTAGAAAGAAAGGGGATTCCTTGCTCAACTATCAGCCACCCAAAACTAACCAAACCACCAAAAAGAAGTCTAGAAAGTAATCAATTTGAATTGTACCCCCTTTGAAATATATCATTAATTCTTATTTGAATTATTTTTTGTGGACTTTTCTAGGATGTTTTTGAAGACTCAAGGTGCCTGTTCGTTTGTATTGTTAAACTTGCTAGAGTTGATTCTTTTCCCATAGTTGTCTCTGTTCATGGCATGATGTAAATAAACAAAGAAAATCATAGGAAAAAATCAAGTTCAGCAGAAAGGTCAAACGAACAAGCCTAAGCATTCCAATAGTTGCACTGGTGCAGATTTTTTCGTGCACTCATTTGGTCTGTTCGTTGCTCTACCTGCTAGTTTTGATTTTTTTTCTGTGACTCCCTGTTTACATCATGCTATGAACAGAGACCACTATGGAAACAAAATCAACTTTAGCAAGTTGAGCAACACATACGAACAAGCCTAACATCTTTGTTTTTGTTCTTAGACGAATAAAATTGAGTTTTTGTTGATCCAATGACGGCTAAATATCTAGACTGTCTGACATGTGCATAAAATAGGATAGACATAAGAGGCCTGTTCGTTTGTATTGCTAAGGTTGATTCTTTTCCCATAGTTATCTCTGTTCATAGCATGATGTAAACAGAGAAAGTCATAGAAAATAATCAAGTTTAGCAGGTAGAGCAAACACAAACGAACAGGCCTAAGGTCTGTTTCTTTGTGTTGCTGAATTTGCTTGAGAGCTTAAGTTGATTTTGTTCCCATTCTCTGTTCAAGAGAACATAATAAAAAATCAAGTTTAGCAGGATGAGGTAGAGCGTAGAGCAAACACAAACGAACAGGCCTATTAGCATGTAAATTTAGGCCTGTTCGTTTGTATTGCTGAACTTGCTGAAAGCATATACCTGAAAGTTGATTTTGTTTCCAAAGTTGTCTCTGTTCATAGCATGATGTGAACAGAGAGAGTCATAGAAAGAAATCAAGTTCAGCAGGTAGAGCAAGCACAAACGAACAGGCCTTTTGATGCAATGTCAAAACAAAAACAATTTTGTAGGTTATGTGTTATGTTGTGGAAAATAAAATTCAAATAAAATAAACATTGATGCATTGATCTGCGGGATTTCTACAAATGCTCATCACTAGCAAATTCCTTTTTTCAACAATTTTGTTCAGGTACGACACGTTACTAAATCTTTAGAAAAACCTGTGAAATATCAACATCAATATTTGCAGCATTTTTCGGAGGTATTCAGTACTTGCAGGTAAAGATATGTCTGGTGAAATTTCTTCTTTAACCACTCCAGCCCCTTCTACCAGTGGGGAACAATCAATTGCTTATGTAACGGCGCCTAGCGATGAAGTTGCTAAAAAGATAGCCCATGGGTTGGTGGGTCAAAAATTGGCTGCTTGTGTGAACATAGTCCCAAAGATAACTTCAATTTATGAGTGGGAAGGCAAAATTAATGAGGACTCTGAAGTGCTCATGATGATCAAGACACGAACAAGTAGGGTAGATGAATTGACTGAGTTTGTCAAGAAGAATCATCCATATTCAGTTTGTGAGGTCATTTCTATACCCATACAGAATGGCAATGATGCTTATTTGAATTGGATTAATGATGTAGTGCCAAAGAACTCAAAGAAGTAATCTTGTATGATACCTTATTTGTGAAGTATTTTGAAATTTGTTAGCTGTGAGAAACCAAGTAGGAAATTGTGATAATTATTCTCATAGAATACCTTTCAAGTTATTAAAGTTCAAACACATGAAGCAAACTATACTTTTTTTTAGAGCCCACCATTCTATGGAATACATTCTTTCTGTATGAAATCGGCCGTCAACATAAAAAACATGTATGCCGACTGGTCCTCAGTCTACTTTTGTGTTCCTGTGAGTATAACTAAATGTTTCAGAAACATTTTTTTTCAAATCGTTTTTTCTACTCTGGTCGGTATCTTTAACAAAAAGTGAAAAAAGTACAACACTTATTACAGATTTCCTTCATGACAGAAATAGTTATTTATTATACAAGGGAAAAAAGTAGTAGATTTTAGCTCCAGGTTGTGTTGTCTCCCGACGCGTAGCGGAGGGAGACAAAAAACCGTGAGCTAAAATCTAATATTTTTCCCGTGTATAATACACTATTTTTTTCTGTGACAGAAGGAAGGACGAATCAATATTGAGAAGATATTTCGAAATATAAAAATTATCGACGTGAAATTTCGTGTATAATACACTATTTTTTTCTGTGACAGAAGGAAGGACGAATCAATATTGAGAAGATATTTCGAAATATGAAAATTATCGACGTGAAATTTCAAGTTTTTAACAGTAGGGACACCTGCGTTTTATAGACATCTTTATCATTCTTTTGAAGTTATCAAATATCTGATGTCACTTCTGTCAGTTCAATTCTGTGATTCGATTTTGAAAAATTGCGAATTCAGTAGTTGTTTAGTAATATACGAAACCGCGAAGTCGAATGGAAGATAAAAGGACTTGTAGTTCTTTCTCGGAGACGGTATTATTGACTCATTTTTCGGAACTATAGCACAACAAAAGCCATTAACAGAGTATATATATATGTGATATATATCCGGGAAAGAAGTACTCACTTTTTTCCCACGGGAAAAAAGTAATTTATGAAAAGTGACATTTTATAACCTGCCAACAGAGATGAAATGCCAAACTTTTTTCCCGTCACAGAAAAAACGGCATTTACACTACTTAGTACTTACACTCTTATTACACACCACTTGCACCAGAAATCATAACATTCATAACATAACCACAAATCGAATGAGATTGAATTTGAAAGTAGGAAACTGTAATGTTGGGGAATTTCAATTATCATCAGTTGTACCAACCTAGAATTTTGGTTGAGATCTCGCCATCTAACGGATAAAATGTGACCAATATTCCGCGATATTGAAAAGAATCCTTCTGTCAAGTAGCCATAGGTCAAGAACTTTGACCGAAAAACAGTAGATGGGATTTGATAAGTGTTCCTACACCATCTTCTGTTCATCCTGCTCGCAAAAGAAGCCTCTTTCGTATAGGGTTCAAGCACTTTCTATGCCATTACTCAATTAACACACAGGGAGTCAAAAATTAAGAATGAATCATGGTTCGAGTTATTCCACCACCATCAAGGAGGCTTTGAAAAATTTTCACCTCTTTATTTTTTTTTAAAGACAAATGTACGGAAGAGTAGAAGGGTCATCGAAAATAAAAAAATCTAATTATTGCAACTTGTTACGTGCAGTAATTCAATTACTGCAACTTACAACTTGCAATAATTCAAAATACTGCAACATACAACTTGCAGTAATTGAATAACTGCAACTTACAACTTGCAGTAATTCAAAAAACTGCAACATGCAACTTGCAGTAATTTGAATCACTGCACCTTATAACTAGCAGTAATTCGAAATAATGCAACATACAACTAGCAGCAATTCGAATCACTGCAACTTACAACTCGCAGTAATTCTAACCCTCTTCTAACCAGTATTAGTACGAAAGGAACTGAATTACTTCAGTAAGATCTGTTAAATATTTTCTTCTATACAGTCCAAGATTTCTGAGATGTCTTTTCAAGGTGCTTTCACCACTGACTTATATTATGGTTCAATGTTAGCACAGCCATCAATTTCTTGTGGCTTAATCCCAAATCCCAAGTGAAAATAAAATTGAACCAACTCATCCTGATCCATTCTATTAGGTACTGAAGGTATAAAAATATCAAATCAAGGTGGATGCAATCCAAGCTTTTGATGGTAAACTTCAATACGGTGTTAATAATGGAATCTAGCTGGTATTTGAGTTAACAGCTAGAGTAGTTGATCTAAGAGTTAACCAGAGTTAATCTTCTTCTCAGCCTGGTTTATATGCTCTAATTATACTGCAAGTTGTAAGTTGCAGTGATTTGAATTACTGCTAGTTGTATGTTGCATTATTTCGAATTACTGCTAGTTATATGTATGCAGTGATTCAAATTACTGCAAGTTGTAAGTTGCAGTAATTCAATTATTGCAAGTTGTATGTTGCAGTATTTTGAATTATTGAGAGTTGTAAGTTGCAGTAATTGAATTGCTGCACGTTACAAGTTGCAATAATTCCGTTTATTCTTTTATTTCTGATGACCCTTCTACGCTTTCGTACAAATGCTTTACCTACCAACAAATAAGAAAAAATGAAAATCGGCCTACATATTGGTGTGACAAGTTTCGTATTATTTTTTCCGTCGGCATCAAAACGCCCATTGATCGATTTCTTTACCTATAGAGGCAGAAGTTGGTCCCGCTTTGAGGACAGCTATGCTTCATATATGAGCAGTAGATATATGGTATGAAGCGACTCCTCATTCAACATCAAAATTCAAAATTGATTGATTCCGTTTATTACCTAAATATACAAGAATGTGAGGTTCCAGATTATATGGTGATTGGAAGGTGAAAACAGACACAGTCATATGCATTCTTTGAGAATTTATTTCCTTGTTCAACCACCGGTTACAACTATAATACGTAAGGTTCTTGTTTCGGTCATGCATTTTGATGTCACAGTTCCACAGTTCAGTAATAGTGTTTCAGTTGTTTCGTTTTGGTATTCTAGAAATGCATTGGTACGTGTTTGTAGACTTTGTTATACCCTTGATGGCCTTCATTACTATTGATGTTGCCGCCATTATTCCCACTGAAAACAGCGCCATCTGCTCCAAACTTATTCGATCCGAATTTCCCTTGAAGGGCCTCCGCTTTATCCGCAAGTACCTCGTTCTGGTACTTGCCCTGTTCGTTCTTGTTCCCTTCCGCGAATTTGGCATCGGTCTTTTCGCCCTTGAAGGCGCTGCTGTCGGTCTGACCGAACTGGCCCTTTTGCCCTTGCACGGCCTTCTTATCGGCTTCGTCGTGTTCTTCGTCGTAGATTTCTTCGGTGTTGCTGGATTCGTCCGTTTGGTGGGACTTTTTGAAGCCCTTGACGGTGTGGCCCTTTTTGTGGCCCTTCTTAGCGTCTTCTTGCCCTTGATTTTGACCTGAACGGAGAAACAGGAAACTCAATGAAAACTGGAACATTATTTCAAGAAAAATACAGGGTGACATACGTAGGTAAGTTTTTCAACTTGCTGTTATATTAAAAACTTGAAAATTGGTACAACGTACAATATAAATTCTACAGGATGAAAAACATGTCATATTCATTCAATAAATATACAGTGAGATAGAGATATTTCGCATTCTCTTTGATGAAAATTGATTATAGGAACCTACATCAATTTTTGCAATACTTCTCGCGTTTTTTCTGTAAATAATAAGTCTATGCGTTGTTCAAAATCGTTGAATTTTAGAGCTCATTTCAAACGTAACGTCATGACCGCCCTTAGGCGATACGTCAAATAAATGGTGACGTCAATGTTTATGCTGTTTCGTTATTGGTCAGATGATATTCCATTTCCACTCATGAAGCAAGGTTGTCAAGTCACAAATTATATATAATCAAGTTATCAAAAAGATGTTTTGAGTCCTGTCTCATGACATTATAGTTCATTCTGACTTCCTCGAGCAACCAGCATGTCCAAATATTTCTTATTTTCCATAACAAAATATTATGTGAATGATGGAGACTTGGCAACATTGTGCTGAATGCTGAGAACTGATAAAACCACGCCCACAAGTCTTGGGCGGGGTTGTAACGTTCACCGATTCAAATGTCCTCTAGTGTGAATTAATATAATTATTATTCATAAGGGAACATTTTAAGACAGTTGAATTTTTATTGCTAATTAGGAATATTACTAATACTCAATTGAGAATTTATGAATTATTGAATAACGCTGGGAAGTAACACATCGTTGTTGTCACTGTAAATATGAAAATCTTGGTAGATAAGGTTTTTATAAATGCAGATGATAATTACCTTGGAAGCGAAATATCGGCTGACAGCTATTTGACATGAAATTAGTTGACATTTGGATTTTTGAAAGTTTGGTTGCAATTATCGCAATAAACAATCGAGCAGCACCGATAGTGAGTTTAAAAATTTCCATACGAAATTTCTAATGTAGCAGTTAGTAGGTATAGGTATTCTGTACAAATTTCAGTATTTGATACAAATAAGAATTAATAAAGAAGAAATTAAATCCCACAAAGAAGTATGTCTCATTGAATCGTTATTCTACATTTATGATTGTCGAAAAAATTGTGTACGCAAACAATTTTTTTTGGCTCGCAGACTTCCAGGACTCGTCTACGGCTCGGCCTAAAATGTTGTGTATTCTTCCAAAAAAACAGTATTTTCCTGACGTAAATTACTATTCTGACAAATATGTAAAATAATCACATCTACTTCCTGTTTTTTACCTTATTCCAGCATTTCTTACCATCTTTTCCAAAATACTGCCCTCCCTTGAAGACACTACCATCCTCGAACATGTTCTTCATGCCCTTAATGCCACTGTAGAATCCCGAATCGCCCTTGACGTCCTTGATCAACCCTCCGCCCTTGGAAAACCCGGACATCCCTTGATCAAACTGACCCCCCTGTTTTCCGAAGCTCTTTTTCGCTATCATGTCGTTGAAATGTTTGTTGGCTCCCTCCATCGATGTTCCTCCCATTTCGCTGCCTCCCATGCCCATTGCTCCCATGCCCATGCCTCCCATGCCCATGCCTCCCATGCCCATGCCTCCCATGCCCATACCTCCCATGCCCATACCTCCCATGCCTCCTGCACAGTAAAACATGGATAACTAAGGGAGACAGATGAATTGGGATGTGTTTTTTATATACGCGGCTATAACAAAAAATTGCTCTTGTTTTTTTTTATTAATATGTTCAATGAACAACTCTGTAACTTTGAAACTTGGTTGAGTGGAAAAATAGCGTCAGCTAAACTCCGCCAAGAAAAATAAAGACCATATTATTATTATTATTATTATTATATCATTAATTTTATTTCCGTATCTGATATGAGAATGACTTCATGTCCGAACAAATCGAAATTTTTGCTGTTGTCTGTATAACAGCCATAGAGAAAGTATAGTGTATATAACTCGTACGGAATGCTGAAAACGGTTTTCATGTCCCTATCTTAACTTTTGATTTACTATCTACTGACATTCAATTGGAACACATACAGGGTGATCACAATTCTGAATTTTCAACCACCCTGTATTCGTTTCAATTAAATGTCAGTAGATAATAAATCAAAAGTTACGATAGGGACATATGAAGACCGTTTTGTCCAATAATGAATAATTTCGATTGAAAAAATCTCAATATTTCACACCCTATATCTCTGTAATCATTTCGGATAGACCGCAACTGTGATAGATCGATGAAATCAGCTCTTCAGGGAGAATCTAAAAATGCAATAAAATACAGGGTGTTCCGTTTAAAAATTCATGCATCTTGTCCATAACTTTTTTTTGAGATGATCAATTGTTTTTCTGTTAACATTTTCAAAATCTACAGAAAAAATTATAAAAGACTGTTCTTTGGAAGAGAAATTCAATGATAAAATAGTTAAGGGGGGTTCAAAATATACGTGAAGACCCTGTACAGGGTCATTCCGTATATTTCTACTGCTTCTACAGGGTTTATCATTGGAGATAGAGAAAAACTTCGTATGCAGAAATTTTAGGGTTTGTTCTGAACCTCCAGAAAATTATACCAGATGAAACAAATGAATATTGCTGATATAAGAAATGGGTACTAACTCCGTTATTTTCAATAGAACACCCTATATATTTTTCGAAAATATGTGAGATCTTTTTTCCTGATTCCAAAAATATATTGGTCATTGATATTTGGTTCAGCCGTTTTCGAGATATTCGCGGTTGAACATTTTAGATTTAGTTTCAATTTGATTCCACCGAATCGCAATTGCCATGAGGAAAAAACAACACATACGCAAGTTGTCATCAATAAAAGGTTCTGTCATATGTTCAGATGAAAAGTTTGAAATGATTCGTTTATTCTACAAAAATAATAATAATGCAGTGGAGCCACCTCATCAAGTTATGCCCTTACGGCATCACTTGAATGATCGTTATCAAACGTGGATCGGAAAATTTGGAACAGTGGAATGGCCGCCGAACAGTCCAGATTCAACACCTTTAGATAACTTCCTATGGGGCTATTTGAAGAATGAAGTATATAAGGAAAGAAGTAGAAATTTGGCTGATTTGAGAGGAAGAATTTTGGAATGCATTAAAATATTGAACAATCATCACTCCAACTTCATTTGCAATTCAATAAAAATATGGCAGTTACGATTTGGTAAAATCTAAAATGTTCAACCTCGAATATCTCGAAAACGGCTGAACCAAATATCAAAGACCTATATATTTTTGGAATCAGGAAGAAGAGATCTTGTATTTTTTCGACAAATATATAGGGTGTTTCATTGAGAATAACGAAGTTGGTACCCATTTCTTATATCAGCGATATTCATTTGTTTCATCTGGTATAATTTTCTGGAGGTTCAGAACAAACCCTACAACTTTTGCTTTCGAAGTTTTTCTCTATCTTCAATGATAAACCCTGTAGAAGCTGTTTAAATATACGGAATGACCCTGTACAGTTCCTCATGACTCATCCTGTATAATTATTAAGGTTCTGGAGTTGACTTACCCATCATTCCAAGTCTTCCATATCCAATATTTCTTCCCATTCCACCTCCAAATCCACCCCCGATCATTGGCATTGAAGCTTTTGTGAGTCGACTCGTATAAAAAACGAACACCCCGAGGATCGAAAAAATAATGTGAACCATTGCAAGAGGATTTTACTGGTAAGAATGGTGGCTGTGACATGGAGTTGCAGTATTTATCAGGAAAAGACTTTTAGGTAGATTATTTGCTTGATTAGTTAGATGATGAAGTGTACTACCAGATTTCTCAAAAAAGGAACTTCGCTTGATTTTATGACCTCTAGAACATGTATGGCGATTATTCAACTCTTTATGTATACAGTACGATCAATAGTTCTTTGGTGGTTCTATGAATTAATAATACTGAAATCAATAATATTATTACTATATATCGATTTCATCAGAAATAAACAACATTGAATGCAGAAGGTCCAGTTTCCATTAATAGTTATTTACACTACAAGGGAGGCAAGTGATACTTACCAGTCGAGGACATTGTTTGCGCCCGAGCGATAGCGAGGGCTTGCAAAATAGTCCGAGACTGGTCAAGAACACTGCCTCCCGAGTTTTGTATTATATTTTTTCTACTCCAGTTCCCTTAGATTAAAAAAAATGTTTTTCAATTACTTATATAATTTGACTAATCTAACTGAAAAACCCTGTATGTATGACAGGTTTCCTAGTGTTTCACGTTGATCGCTATGGAATTCATATTGTTTATAATCAAACAAATGTTCTGTCAGTGTCATTTTATTAAAAAAATCGAAATAATGGATATCGATGCAGTTGCGAATGCAGCTTGTGCTGCTCTATTACCTCAGAAATCGAAGGAACGGTACAATCGGTGTTACAAGGACTTCAAGGCTTGGTGCAGTAATATTGCAAGTGGTGAAAGCATTACCGAGAACTCTGCTGGCGTACTTTGTAGAGAAGTCACAGACCCTAAAGTCCCCTGCAAGTTTATGGAGTGAGTATTCGATGCTAAAATCGACGTTATCCATTCAAGACAATGTAGACATTTCCAAATTCCTTAAACTAAAGGCGTTTTTGAAGAGAAAAAATGATGGCTATAAGCCAAAAAGTCTCAAGTTTTCACGCGAGAAGAAATAGAAAAATTTTTGACAGAAGCCGACGATAGAAGTTTTTTATTAATGAAGGTAGTGATGGTCGTCGGGATTGCTGGAGCATGCCGCTCACAAGAATTATGCGATCTGAGTGTAGAGAATGTCCAGGAAATGGAAAATTTAATTATAATCAATATACCTGATTCAAAAAATGGTACATCTAGAAGATTCACCATCACTGCAGACAAAGACAGTAAAATCTGCCATTTAAACATTTTTAAAAGATATCTCAAAATAAGATCGTTGGTTGAAAGACCCCAACAACGCTTTTTTTTGAGATACCAAGAAGGCAAATGCTTGAATCAGCCTGTGGGAAAGAACACTTTTTCAGCTATTCCCACAAAAATAGCAAAATTTCTCAGACTGCCTAACGCTGAAGCTTATACCGGCCATTCGTTTAGAAGAACGTCTGCCACATTATTAGCTAACACTGGTTCAAGTGTTTTAGCTCTTAAAAGACATGGGGGCTGGAAGTCGGAGACGGTTGCTGAAGGTTATGTTGCTGATAGTCTTTGCAATAAGAACGAGGTGGCGAACAAAATTCTTTATAACAAGAATAACAGCGATTCAAATTCATCTGCTATTCATCTGCCTACCACATTGACCAGCGCTGTAACAAGAATTTCTGATAACATAAGCACAACAGTAGAAGTGTCCAAACAGCTGCAAGAGGTTTCCCCACATTTTTCAAACTGTAATTTTTCAAATTGTACTATAAATGTTAATTTAAAATAAAGAGTTCAATTTTTAGGTTAAATTATGAAGTTTATTTAACTTGCTTCCCTAGGGAGGTAAATATTTACTTACCTCCCTAGGGAGGTAGAACGTGTTTTCCTCCCTCAAATCAGTATCAAAATGAAGTACTTACCGAGTAAGGAGTAGAAAAACTATTTTTTAGTGGTATTCAAGAAGCGCATTGTATATAAAGCTGATAAAGCTGATAAGCTGATAATTTTTCTTCTTGAACTCAGATATTCACCTATAGTTGTTGATACTTTTTGACAAATTGGATACTGAAACATCCGGTATGGATCCTCGTTATTTCAAAACCATTGCAAAAAAACACATCGAGCTTCATCTTCTTGTTCTCAGGATAGAGTATTTAAAAAATATATTATTGCCAACAAAGCTGAAAGTTTCCGTAAATAATTATCACGGTCGTCTTAGATATCACCTAGTAGGTCATAATTCTCAAAAGGTAGATAAAAGAGAAAAAGTGATATTAATCTTTATTACTAGATAGCAATTAAAGTGATCTGTTAGAATCTCGGAAGAATGAAAAAGAGGGTTATATTTCAGATGTGGAGCAGCGTAGGTACATAATGTGTAAGACGCACGATGTTCGAACATTATAGAAATTTCCTTTCGTGCATTCCAAGAGACGGAAAAAGATTTACAAGGAGAAACATGTTGTCTTTATAGACCTTCAATCGCAAATTCGTGATTTGGTTTTCTCAATTGAGAATTTCTTTCCACGTCCTGTATGATTCATATCAATTTGTCATACATCCAAAAAAAAAAAAAGAAACATGAACCAAAATTAATATTTTCGAAGTTATCTCTATGATATGAAAACAATTCCGAATTTTTTTCTAGGCCATATTATGATTACGAATTGGGAGAAACTCAAAGTCATTACCACAATATTTGAGAATTGACCTATGATAACTGATAAACACAATACCAATATCATAGTCATTGACCAAGGAGGGGGAAGTTAAATAACTAAAGTTTTGAAACATCGTTCTGACATACATGTAAAACTTCTAAATCTTTCCAATATCAATGAATGTTTGAGGTTGAGAACGTTGTTGACAAATGAACTAGTTGTATGCAAATTGTTAGATTTTTCAATGATTCTAATATGCTCATTTACCCTAGTCAGAATCTTTCTTCCACTTTGTCCAATATATTTCGTCATTCTTCTTGATCTCTTGATGACATGTCAACAAAATGTTTCTTCCCAATATTAGAATCGGTATACAATTCAACTTTTTTGTCTCGATTTTTGCCCAGGTATATTCAACAGGAATTACCAACCGAGTGGATACAAGTCCTCAAAATAGTTATTTTCATCGGAATATTATTAATATTTTGAACCATTTTGGAAATAAGAAAGTTATTTTCCATGAAAGTTGGCATATTATCATTTATCAAGTTGCACGTTGTTGAAATATAAGGAGCTATTTTTGTTGATTTTGTGGTATAATTTTGTATAATGATTGGATATACCATGAATTCCCATGGTGAGGGTTGAAATAACTAACATAATTACTGCTTGAAATTTAATGAAATAAATATTTACACAATGGCATTCTCCTGAGCTCACAGTTCCACATTAAAAAGACCCTAGTAGTGGGAATATTTCTTGAAAAAATCACTCGTCTGTCGATGTCCTCCCAATCCATGTTCCCCCACCCCCCTATCAAACCCGTAAACGTGTTCATCACTCGCATACTTCCCCCCTCCAAATTTCCCATGTTCCCCATCCACTTTATCTACAGAGTACTCGTTGCCAAAATGCCCTATTTTCTTAGCCTCCCCCGAGGTAAATTTTCCGTCATTGAAGCCGCCTTTGAAGCTGTTGGAGGCGGTCTCCCCGAATTTCCCCACGTGCCCCCCGAAGGCGTAATTGCCCCCCTCGTCGTGGTCTTCGTCGTAGAATTCCTCGGTTTTGCCTGTTTCGTCCAGATGGTGGGATTTCTTGAAGCTTTTCACGTTGTGGCCTTTTTTGTGGTTCTCGTTCAGAATGTTTTCACCTGCATGTTTTCCTGAAAAAAACGGAAATCAGTGGGGGAAATTTTCCTTCAAGGTCGTTCAGAAATTCACTATCATTATAGGAAATACTTCTAGTGATGATTTATTCTGGAATTCTACTTGGGCATCAAGTTTTCCTATACAGGGTGGGCCACCAGTAACGCCTCGGTCTCTATAGAAGGCTAACCACTTATCTTCTTGGAATTCTTCCTCTCTAGGAAGTTGCATGTCAACATAGGCTACCATTTGAAATTATTTCGAAACATACAGGGTGTCTACAAAAACCATAAAACACTGAAGTTAAACTTTTTTCTATCGAACACCCTATATATTATTTCATTTTGAGATTCTCCCTGATGAGCTGATTTCAACGACCCATCATACTTGGGGTCTAGCAGTTATAATTACTGAAATATAGGGTGTGAAAACTCGAGATTTTCCAAGTTCAAGAATTTTTTGTGTCGAATCTATTCATAATTGGTCAAAACGGCTTACATCTCCCTATCTCAACTTTTGATTAACTATCTACTGATATTTAATTGGGACATATACCGGGTGATCAAGATTCTGAATTCTGCACCACCCTGTATTTGTTTCAATTAAATGTCAGTAGATAGTTGATCAAAAGTTGAGATAGGGACATGTGAGTTGTTTTGACCAATTATGAATGGTTTAGACACAAAAAATTCTTGAACTTGGAAAATCTCGATTTCTCACATCCTCTATATCTCAGTAATTATAACTGCTAGACCCCAAGTATGATGGATTGTTGAAATCAGCTTACCAGGGAGAATCTCAAAATGAAATAATATATAGGGTGTTCGATTGAAAAAAGTTCAACTTCAGTGTTTTGTGATTTTTGATGACATCCTGTATGTTTCAAAATAATTTCAAATGGTAGCCTATGTTGACATGCAACTTCTTAGAGAGGAAGAATTCCAAGAAGATAAGTGGTTAGCCTTCTAGAGACCGAGGCGTTACTGGTGGCCCACCCTGTATGTTTTAATTATGAAAATTATAGTGTATAACTTGCATGGAATGCTGATTTCCTACTCGAATAATTGCAGCATTTTTTTTTATATTCTGGTTCCCACGAGAAGGGGATATCCTGTAATGTTCAGAGAACATCGTGAGAACCAAGGGAAATAAGGTAGGATTTGGTGTTCTTCTTAAATTTCTGGAGGTTATATGCCTCGGGAAACACCTCCCTTGGCAATGTGTTCCAGAGCCTCGCTGTTCGTTGGATGAACGAGTCTTTGGGAAGAGATGTTCTGCAGGTCTCCAAAGTGACCACGAAGGGGTGCGATGCCTCAACTCGACGGGTTAATCTCGTGGGGACTGCCAAGGGAGGTACAATTATTGTTGATATTTCAGAAGAGCATCGTCCATGAAAATATCTATAAAATAGAGCCAGATCGCCAACTTTTCTACGGTTTTCCAGAGAAGTGAGTGAGTTTGTGAGCGAGGCACCACCCACGAGACGAATTGCCCTTTTTTGGACAGAATCCAACAGTTTCAGGGTATGTTTGGGTATTGTACTCCAAATATGGGAACAGTATTCCAGGATAGGTCGGATCTGTGCCTAATAGATCATAAGCAGCTGACTGGGAGTGAGATAGCTCCTGGCCCGAAACAGGAAACCAAGTTTTTGGGATGTACTTTTAGCAATTGATCTCACGTGATTTTCCCAAGGAAGGTTATTGCTGATAGTAATACCAAGCATCGAAATGGATGTCTTCAAAGGTACGATTAATCCTGACAAGCTTATGTTGGGCACAGTGAGATCGGATTTCCTAGAGAAAAGGCATGCTTGTGTTGCGTTTGCATTGAAATCTACCAAGTTATTGGATCCCCATTCGAGAATTGTTGCCAAGTCCATATTTATTCGTCTATGACTCATGCTGCAAACTTCATTCTCGTAGGAAATCACTATCATTTCGTGCTCGTTGAACAATATACTATTGTTTTACTAGGCGGAAAAGCACAACATTGAATGCTGCGGCTGGTATTTATTTGATTTTTCAATAAGAACATCTAGAAACGGTAACTGATTGTTAGATTCAATTTCCAAAGTGAACTTTATGGTAGGTTCGGCATTACTAACATAATCTAGAAAAATATCTAGCTCCATAAGGTTTTGTGGCCAAATAACGAAATCATCTACGTATTGCCACCATTTTTTAGGTTGTTTGTGGTAATTTTTGATGATGTTTTCTTCGAAATTGTCCATAAATATATTGCTTAAAATTGGAGATAATGGCGATCCCATGGCCATTCCAAAGTTTTGTTGATAAAACTCATCATCCAATTGAAAATATGTTGTTTTTAGACACAATTCCAAAAATTCCATTGTTCTTTCGATACTTAGATTAGTTCTCTCAGCGAGACTTTCATCGTCTTCTAATTTATGTTCAACTCATTATTCCAGATTTTTTGGGACTTTTTCTCCTCGTTGCTATAAAATAAAAATATGAATATGATCTCAATATACGTGTAGTAAGGACAAATCAGATGATTTGCCCCAAAATGTTACTGCCTTTAAGGAATTTTCCTATCAGAGAGCCTAAAAGAAAAATTCACTAGCTTGTCAGTGACAATTTGTATTGAAAAAGGTTTAGAGAAGAGAAATAAAGGTATATAGAAAAAATATCACGAAGCTTTGGTCGTTTCGGGAACGAATCTGCTTCCGTTTTCAACATAAAAAGTGGTTATTTGAATAGCAAATTGTCACTGAGAACTGAAAAGTTTCAAGAATGATATGAAGTTGCTATTAAAATAACCATTTTTTATGTTGAAAACGGGAGCAGATTCGTTCCCGAAACGTCCAAAGCTAATAGGTGAAAGTTCGATATTTTTTCTATATACCTTTATTTCTCTTCTCCAAACCTTTTTCAATACAAATTGTCACTGACAAGCTCATGAATTTTTCTTTTAGGCTCTCTGATAGGAAAATTCTTCAAACGCAGTGACATTTTGGGGCAAATCATCTGATTTGTCCTTACTACACGTATATTGAATTGATATTCATATCTTTATTTTAAAGAAACGAGGAGAGAAAATCCCAAAACATCTGGAATAATGAATGTTGCACCTCCTAGATTAACCTACAGAGTTGATATGGAATTCATATAAATTAAAAATAAAATTGGTCCCAAAACTGATCCGGGGGTGGTGCTTCCCTTAGTAGGGGGTTGAAGTTACGGGGATGAAGAAAGCAAACAAGTCATTTCCCCCCGAATCATAAATCGACAGGTCCAAGCGTTTTCCCGGAATTTTATTTTGAAGCCCTAAAATCTGGGTCTGAAGTTTTTGTAGAAAAATCACTGACTAACACTTTCACAAGAAGAGTTCCTTTATTTTTCACAACGAACAGTAACGAAAGATCTCTTCTTGTGAAAGTGTTAGTCAGTGATTTTTCTACATTTGGCGACTGTGACAGGACACAAAACTGCAATCGTCGGACTTCTTTTTTATGACAAGTCATCAAAGTCAAGAATCTAATCTTCAGATCTCTCGTTGATTGATTGATTGATTGATTAATAGCAGAATGATCAGTCAGGGTTTGAAGCCCAAAACACTGCAGCCTTTGGGCCTATTGTATTCCTGATCATGCTGTTGACTTAGGTGAACAGGTTCGCTACCTTGATGAGGTTTAGCAGCCTCTTCACCAGATCATTCTTTGAAAATGCCTCTTGAGAGTTTACTGCTCCCAGAAGGTTGTATCTCCAACGCGCTAGTGCTTCGCACTCCAATATTACATGGGTGGCAGTTTCCTCCTCCTCATTGCATAGTCTGCTTATGGGTTCGTCTGTATAGATGCCCATTTGATGCATATGTTTCCTCAAGGGGCAGTGACCGGTTATTAGTCCCGTCACTTGTTTGATCTGACTTCTGTTCAGGCTCAGAATGTCGTTAGTCACTGTTTTGGACAGTGTTCCAACCATCAGTTTACTGTGTCTTTGTCCTGGGACATTGTTCCAGTATGCCTGATGTCTTTCTTGCATCCACCTTGCCAGCCAGCCGTGTATTGAGGTTTTGGGGATACCGAACACAGGTTCCGGCCCCATAAACAACGTCGCAGACCCTTGCCGGGCAAGAGCGTCAGCTGCTTCATTGCCTTCAATTCCCTTATACCCTGGCACCCATTGAAGAGTTACCTTGTTGTGGTTAGCCAGGGTTAGCAGGCTTTGAAGGCAATCCCATACCAATTTTGATCTGATTTTATTGCATGTTAGAGATCTCTCGTTACTATTCATTGTGAAAAATAAAGGATCTCTTCTTGTGAAAGTGTTAGTCAGTGATATTTCACAGTTTTCATTGGATGAACTTCGATGCTAAAAATAGCTAGTAAATTGCTTCCTGATTCCTCAAAGCCACTCGACCGGAAACTCACCCTCCTTATCAAAATGCTCCCCACCATGGTACATTTTTCCCTCATGTCGACCGTTGTTCACCCCATCAACATCGGTGAATCGCACCGACTCTCCCCGAACATCTTTCTCTGCCACTTGCCCTGATCTGAACCCAGCATCCCCATGGTCCAGAGTAGCCCCTTTTTGGCCCCTGATGGAGCTGTGTTGGTTGGCTGCCAGGGAGTTTTTTGCCCCGCTGTACGAGCTCTGATCGATTTCTGATCCGCCCAAATGGCCTGCTGATCCGTATCCAACAACTGGACCATACCTGGACGTGAAAAAATGCGTAGTTAATGCTCTACACTTCAGGGATACCCAACCTTTTCTTGGTCAGAAACCAACTTCATATTATTCTTGTTAGCAATGAATACTGAACATATTTATTCGAACATCTATATCGATATTCGCAACCATTTTTGAATTTTTGAACTTTGAAAATTTTAGGTTGGCCATTTTCATCGATACACATTCTAATCTGTTATTGAAACATCAAAAGTTCAATCAACAATTTAGTAAACCAATTTTTTATTGAAAGAATCGATGTCAGAACCAAAGCAGACATGAATAGGTCATAATAATTATGCTAAATATTTACAAAGTAGAGACGGAAAAAATTTCATTTCTCAATTATTCTGGTTTTGCTTTCAATGTGCCATGAATTTATGGGATACCTACTTGAGAAATGCAAATTTTGTCTCTTTTTACTTTGTGAATAACTAGTATATGAACTTTTTCTGTTTGCTTCGATTCTGGTATCGATTCTTTCTGTGAAAAATTGGTTCACTAAACTAATAATTGGACTTTTGATGTTTTAATGACAGTTGAAAATCTGAATCGATCAAAATCGCCAACCTATAATTTTCAAAGTACAATAATTCAAAAATGGTTGTGGATATCGATATGGATGTTCAGATGAATATGTAATTGTTTCGATTTTACATCAAATGGTCAAAAAATATATTCCATTTGAAAAATCATTTTCAGCCACCCTGTATCATTTGAGGGCCTGAAACATTCTCAGAAATGTCACTCATCTTTTCAATAAATGATATTGAGATAATTTTTTCTTGAATTTCATAATAATTGTGACAACAGTGATATTTTCGGTAGGCATCTGCAGATGACATTATTTCGACAAAAAAATTCATAACTTTGATATGAACGAGATATAGTCAACGATATCATAGGAGTGGATGAAGGTCACAGAAATGTTTAGAAAAATGCAAATATACAGGGCATTCCTTTAGAAAAAAATGATCCCGACCCTCTAGATTATTTTTGGTGCGCCCTGTATATGCGGCAATAATTTATAGTTATGGACCGTGTTTTCTCATTCACATTCGTTTTTGAATCAGATTTCTAGCTATTATAGATGTCGAGCAATCGAGCTCCGACACACTAATGCCCCACCCTGTATATCCATTTTTTAATGTTCATAATTATATCTGAGAATATTCCTTTTCAATATTGTGATAATGTCTTGGTGATAGCCACTTTCAGTTACATGGTTGAATCCAGAACAAAATAAGCTATCAGAATTTCTGAACACGAAATGAGAAACGTATTAAAAAAACAGTTGATGATGGTTCAACGAATACGAAACGTCTTGTAGAGGAATCAATATAACAGTTAAATCTCATCAAAAGTTGCTACATGGAAAAGTATTTTCAGTTTTTTGTATCTAATAGTAACGTAGACAAAAAAATTCCAAAAATTCACTTTTCCCGATATAACTAAAAAGCTATCAACAATTTTGAAAATTTTCGAAGGCTGTTTTCAAGATCCCCAAGCTGTGCAACCTTATCGTGGTCACACTGAACAAGAAGCTTGAAAAGCACTATCAACCTCACCTAACTAACTAGAACTAGGTTTCAATTTAGAAAGGCAATGGTCTCACCGAGAATATCCAAGACCTCCTTGGTTGATTCCAACAGCATCTGGATAATACCCATGTCCTAACAGATGTCCCTGTTTTCCATAAGCCCCTAAAGCCCCAACACCTCCAGGATATCCCAAAACTCCTCCTCCGTAGCCCAAACCGTTGGGATAGTGACCTAAAGGTCCATGGGCTAAGCCTAGTCCAGTACCATAACCATAACCTAGTGGTTGATGGGCTATAACTGGTTCAGGACTGAATGGTTGGATATTGCCTTCACCATAACCAAAGGAAGAGGCAGTTCGAAGGTGTGATAATCCAGGACCGTATTCAATGTTGGTGTACTTAAAGGGGGTTAACTGTACAGCACTTGTTATAGTATTGGGGTAGCAAAGTACCAGTAACACGGGCAATAATATCGAGCTAAACATTTTTGAAACAAAGCAGAGAATGATACAACTGGATTTACCTTAGATGTATTTATATAGGTTTAGAATCGGATTTGGTTGAATGGTTTGCAGATTAATAAAATCGATTTCTTTGATTATATGATTATAATATCGTCTGGTACTATCTATTTGAGTGTTTGGGTTGACCTTCCAAGGTTGGGTCGTACCTGAAAAAGTTTATTGTTGATTGATGACAATACGGTTTGTCGTTACACAATTTTCAGGAGAAAAAGTGGCAATTTAAGGCTTCGTTAGGTGCGATTAGTGTTTTGAAGAATGTTGGGAGAATGGTGAATGGTTATCGGGAAGTTCAAGTGTATAGAAGTGATTGTATTTAATGTACAGGGTGTTTCAGATTTCGTTTGCTAAACTTCAGTAGATTTTAATATTCATCAAATAGCGCTTCTTTTATTTTTCACATTCGTATCTTCATTTGTTTTCTAGAAAAATGATGATAATTCGAGTAACAAATCTGGAAATATACAGGGTGTTTCACAGGTAAAGGGAAATATTTCAATGGTAGATAGGGGTCACCAAGGTGGTTCTGAAAATACCATATTTGATAGGTCTTAGAGTCTTCATAACGGAGATACAGGGCGATTTATCGATTTCGAATAATTATTCATTCGTCTATATGTATTGACCTACCCAGTATATTTTCCTCAAAATTGGTAAGGAACTTATACTTGGTACGTTAAATTTAATCACCTATCGGGCGGAGTGAAAATCCAGGTTCGGCGTCAGAAATCGGAATCGGAATGAAAATAATACCAAATAATTATAATTCGATAATTCACCCTGTATCTCTGTTATAAGGACTATGAGACTTTTGCTGAAGCTGATCCTGTATTTACATTCTGCCTGATAGGTCAATGAATCGAGAAAATATTACTGCGATGGGTAGTTTAATACTTATGGACGAGTGAATAATTATTCGAAACCGATAATTCACCCTGTATCTCTGTCATAAAGACTGTGAGACTTAGTAAGTTCTTTCGAACGATCATTTAACAAGAATATATCAAATCATAATTGAAAGTGGTTTCATAATTTTAATACTCTTCAAATTGACATACTTTTAGCTTTCCATTTATGATTGTTACGATGAGAATTGATGGTGGCGGGAAAACAAAAAGCATCAAATCTAGTTCAGTTTTTCCTCCTCTTCACGATTCCTTCGATGAACTCTGTCAATTATTACATACAGTGTGTTATTTTAATATTTCGAATAAATGTAAATTTTTCCTGAAGCCGAACCTGGATTTTCACTTCACCCGATAGGTGAATGAATTCAACGTCCCAAGTATAAGCTCCATACCAAATTTTAGAAAAATATACTGGGTAGTTCAATACTTATAGACGAATGAATAATTATTCGAAATCTCCGTTATGAAGACTCTAAGACCTATCAAATATGGTATTTTCAGAACCACCTTGGTGACCCCTATGTACCATAGAAATATTTACCTTTATCTGTGAAACACCCGGTATATTGTGTACACTAATAATAATAATAATAATAATAATTTTTATTTTCTGTTGAATGTATAACATGAAACAGTGAAATAAGTCAAAAAAGAAAAAATATAACAAACAAACAATGCGACAGCATCACAATTAAATACAAAATATACATCACGTTACTAACATTACATAGAAATGCATAGAATTATAGAAAATACTCATCCAGCGTATAACAGGCCTCTTGAATTAGCTGTTATCTGGTAATACAACGTAGTCCGGTGTCTCTCAGGTTGAAGGTGGCTTTTGAAGTGAGTATTATGATTGTGCTTCTCAACAGCATTCAAAAACATGTTTTTATTTTTATAAACGTATAAACAAACTTCTAGTATATACAAACAACAACACAACAGGTTTCTTCATAATGTTTATTCGTGGAACAAAACTAGGAACAATCTAATCCTTGTTTATTCGTTCATATATCAATATTTATCTCAAAATTCGACAATTGCTATAAGAAACATTACATTTGTTTCAATTGCTTCATGTGTCGATATTATAATATACCGGGTGACACAGGAGATATGCAACAGCCTGTAGTTTTTTTATTTGAAGAGATAAAAATTTGAAATTCAGAAGGGTTATATTATCGATGATGGCGCTTCCCCTGAACTCAATGACAATTTTCTTCAACCACCTGTTTGATCGGAAGTAGACCCAACTTTTTGTTTTTACAAATGACACCCTGTATATTTCTGTAGCCTTGAAAATCTCTATTCAACTATGTATCACAATATGACATTCGTTCAAAATTGTCTGTTAAATTGCATTTTATAGTTTTTGGCAAAAACTCGAAAACGTCCCGAGGTATGGTTGCTATTTATGAAATGCCTGAATAAAACATTAGCATCGTGGTCTTCCGACAAAATGGGGGGGCGGAGAAATTTTTTCAAAATGCACGTAACTTTGTTTCACCCTGTATCATGGATCCTGATCAATTTAGAAGAAGCTGTAAGGAACGGTTCGAAAGACGATGAAAAAGGCATTCAGAATCTGGGCGGCAATTCAAAATTCGTTCAATATTTTAGAAATCACGAGAAGTCAAACTTGATGCCAAATTTCACTATTAACGTTTCAATTGACGCCCTGTTTATATCAAAATATGGTTTTCCGGACAAACAATTTGTTAGAGTTTTTAGTTATATTTCTCAAAGAACAGCCACAAGTATTCACACATCAAGGGTTTATTCATCGAAGCATTGGTCCAGAAATGCATAGTTTTCAAAATACAAGTTTCAACTTTTTTTGAACTTTTCCAAATCCCTCAATTACCACATACTTAATGATCACCCTGAGTCTTCTCGTTCTTCCTCAATTAATTTTGATACTGACATTCTGGAAGCTTCATTGATCTAAGTACGATTGAAATTAATAAAACTCTATTTACACTTGCAAGTTATTTATTATTTTATTCAGTATATTATAGAACTTGGTAAATGAACCTGTTTTGACAGTCCATACTAATAAATACATCATTTAGTTATAATCACTTAACATAATATAATGTGTTAACAAACTACTGAATACATTTAAACAATAAATAATGAACACTATGGCTTATTTACAAAGGATATGAATACTCAAACACAAATTTTTCTAGAAATATCACATCAATACATCAAGCACTTATCGTAAAATCATCAAATTCATTATCGTCTTAATGCATATTTTACAGTAATAACAAATCACCAGCATTATCACGAAAAATCCCCTAGAAAATAATGAGAATAGTTTTTTTTTTCAAATTACCAAATTGATCGCCCTATATATTTTTAAATCCATGTCCGACTGTGGTGAAACTTCCGCCAAATCAAAGAGACTCATGTTTCGAAATTTTAGCTTGAATTTCAGTTACCAAAAAGAGCTGATGGCTTGATCATTATACAGGGAAAAACAGAAGGTATTCTCTTATTTTGAATTGAACTGTGATCGATTTTTTACACGATAGTTTTTGATAAACGTCAATATCTTCTTTGAGAAAAAAGGATAATTTTTCTATATTTTTATAAACAAAATGAAGCTGAGTTCATTTCTGCCACAGGGCGTTGAAGTTAGGGATACAAAAATAACTTGTACTTGTTTTTCCCTGTATAATGATCAAGTCATCAGCTTATCTTGGAAAGTGGAATGCAGCCTAACATTCCGAATCATGAATCCACGATTTGGTCGAAATTTCACCAGAATCGGACCAGAACTGAAAAAGTTACAGGGTTATCAATAAGTCTTTTTTTTACTGTGAAAATTACCTGATTCTTCGATATGTGATTACAGCTTGGAAATGGTCAAACATTCGAAATAATCACTAGAACATTTTCAAATTTCACAGAAAGTCATTACCACAATATAGTTCGTGAAATGAACGAAAATGGTAGATAACGAGAGAAAAACAACTACTTTCCTGGCTATATGCCACGCAGAACATGGATAACGATTCGTATAGACGAATAAAATCACAAGTGTTTCCTTCCTAAACGCCGAGCTGCGCCTAAGTGGTTCAGGAAGCTATCTGGGACAGCCCTGCACTGATGAGAGATAACAGCTCGAAACCGCTCTGCAGGTAGTCAGGCGTTCCTGAACCACTTAGGCGCAGCTCGGCGTTTAGGAAGGAAACACTTGCGATTTTATCCGTCTATACGAATCATTATCCATGTTCTGCGTGGCATATAGCCAGGAAAGTAGTTGTTTTTCTCTCGTTTTCGTTCATTTCACGAACTATATTGTGGTAATGACTTTGAGTTTCTTTCTTGTTGTGACCATTGCTTTCCACTTCGAGTATTTAGCTTTTTCCTTGTTGAATTTCAAATTTTACGTCAAATTACTTATGTGGAAAGAACATTTTGGTTTTTCGTGTAATGGGCACACACGCAATCAATAATTATGAAACGGAGCTATGAACGGGCTGGTCTTATACACTTTACTAGCCTCCTGATGTCCCAAAAGACTCTGTTCATCAGCCCCATTTTTGTACCCGAAAACTGCCTCGTTCCCTGCAAACTTGTTCCCCCCGTACTTTCCCTGATTCGCCTGTTTCTCCCCTACAGAGTGTTCAGTGCTGTGGTGGCCTTCCTTTTTGTTTTCCCCCACTTTGTATTTTTCCTCCTGGTTGCCCCCCTTGAAGGAGGACGCGGCGTTTTCCCCGAATTTACCGGACTGTCCGTTAAACATGTAGTTTCCGGCCTCGTCGTGGGCTTCGTCGTAGTATTGTTCATCGGTCCCGGATTCGTCTTTGTGATGGGAGGTTTTGAAGCTCTTGATTTTGTGGCCCTTTTTGTGGCCCTGTTTGGCGGTTTTTTCTGCACCGTTTTGTCCTGGAATTTCATTTGGAATTAGCAATTATTTCAATTATTACCCTTGAAAAAAATGTAGGCACGCCCTTGAAGAGATGTTCGTTCTATTCATTTTCGAATTGGGATTTCCGGAAAGGAAAAAATTGGACGTCCCAGGAGAACGAGTTCTGGAATTTCGGTAGCAAGTTTGAAATGTAATAACAAAGGAAAAAATAGTAGATGAATTACATTTTTAATTTTTGACACCTTCAAAAAAATGGTGTAAAAGAAAGTTGTGCATAGTATCCAAAAATGGAAGACAATGAATAGTAGTTTAAAAAACTGAAGAATCACCTAGATGGCACCTCCGTAATTAGTACTTTCTATATTGTTTATTTATCAACACACTATTATTATTTTATTTTCTACCTCTTCTTAGTCTGGCTATCTATGAAAGGGTGTTTCTTTAGTTTTTCGAACTACTATTCATATTCTATTTTTCAGTTCCACTAACTAAAAAAGGTTTCCTCAGTGTTTTTATAATTATTTTTTGTAAAAGTACCCAAATATTAGAAAGAATCATAATCTGCGACCCCGAAAACTAGGTGCTTATATTATTTAATAGAATCGGATCATAATTACAAAATTTGCCCGCGATATTGTGTCCGCCATATTGAATTTTGCAATTTTGACAAAAGCATGATAATCTCCTACCCCGTAAACCCTCTGATGCCAATTTTGAATAGAATCGGATCATATAATTACAAAACTCTTCCACCATATTGGATCCGTCATCTTGAATTTTCCAATTTTTGACAAATGAATCGTTATCTCCAACCCCTATAACGCCAAGATATCCATTTTGACTACAACTGGATCATAATTACAAAACTCGCCCGCCATATTGGATCTGCCATCTTAAATTTCCAAATTTTGACGAAAGACTCATAATCTTTGACCTCAAAAACCACCAGATACAAATTTTGAATAGATTCGGATCATAATTACAAAACCCGTCCGCCATTTTGGAGCCACCATTTTGCACAGTGACAGAAATTGTAATTCATTAAACTAATCCCCTCAAAAATACTAGGTGCGACCGGAAGATGATTTTGAAATTCCGACATTCCTAATTTTTGACACCTTGAAAAAATTGGTGCCAAAGTAAGTTTGAAATTCCGTTCTATATATTTTCGGATTGTGCAGATTACCAAAAAATGGAAGAGAAAAATGACGGCCTTGCTGAAAAAAAATTCTGGATTTTCAGCCTCTACATTCCAGATGTAGAAACACATTGTTTTTCTGGTGGGAGGTTTTGAAGCTATTGATTTCGTTGCCGTTTTCTAATTTTATTTCGAATTAACGGTTACTTTGATTAACACCCTTGAAAAAAAAATAGGTACGCCCGAAAGATAATTCCGAAATTCCAATATTTTCTATTTTTGACATTTTAAAAAAATGATGCCAAAGAAAGTTGGAAATTCCATCCACATTCAATCATTTTTGAATAGTTGTGATTCCCGGAACGAAGAAAGAAAAAGGATAAATTCTGGAATTCCAGTCGCTATAGATTTCACATTTTCAATAAATAAAATGAATGAAGTACGTGAAAAAGTAAGCAAATGAATAAATTAACCCTCTGAAAAATCCTAGGTACCTACGTCCGATGAATAATAATAAGATTCCGACATTTTCAATGATTGACGTTCAAAGGAAAGAGTTGCTAAACATTTTTGAGTTCCTTCCTATTCATTTTTGAACAAAATAAGGACGCCTCTGGAGATGGAATTCTGAAACTTATTCAACCGCTCGATTTCACAATCATAGGAAAAAAATAAACAATTATTTAATTAACCCATCAAAAATAAAGATAAATTTGAAATTCCCACATATTCATAATTGCCCCTTCAAAACAAAAATTTGCTCCCACGTGGATATTTTCGATCATGAATCGCCCTTATTGATGCACTAGTTAGTTAAATAATAATTATCAATCCCAACATTGAGAGGATAATTTCGGAATTTTTACATTTTTTTACTACTTTACTTTAACTAATGAAAATGATGCTAAAGAAATTTTGGAGCTTTGTCCCAATTATTTTCGAATTGTGATTCCCGAAAAACCAAAAATCAGGACACCCCTGGAGAAGAAATTCTGAAACATCAAACGCTAGATTTCAGATCGAAAAATAAAAGGTGTTCAAGTTTTGAAAAATATAATGGTTTTCATTCATTTCTCATAATGAAAACCTATTTTGATTTCCTTGAAATCCAGTAGATTTGTCTGCAATAATAAAATACTTCTTCTGATGTACCTAATCAAACCAATTCAAAGTGAAACTTCAATGTTCCACCGATATTTGTCAAGAATATACTATATTTAAAAAAATAAAAATAATGTCTTTGTATTTTTTCTAACAAATTGAACAGAAACATACAAAATTTAAGAAAAAACAAAAAAGGAAGTATTTGCTTAGGAGCTGAAGGGGATTTTCAATAAACCTTATCCATGTTGAAAAAATATATGTTTAGTATACATTCTGTATCCCGAAAAATACGGTTCTCTGAAAAAGTTACTGAGGAACTTTATTCTTATTTTTTTGTGAATAATTCACCCTCGGATTTTCTCACCATATCAATTTAATATGAGAAAGGATATAGTACCATCACGAATGTAATGAAAAGACTCACCTTCATTATTGAAGTGATGTCCTCCACTATACTTTTTACCATCTTCGTACACCTTCTTCTCACCATCCACATTGCTATAATACCCCGAATCACCCTTGACATCCTTCAGAGCTACCTCTTTCTCAGAAAACCCTTCCTCACCATGATTCACCTCCTCACCCTTTTTACCCTGCCCTTTTTCGTACCTCTCATCATTCGATTTTTTCCCTGATTCGCTAAAGTCGCTTTTCTCCACACTCTCACCCCCATAACCACCAAGACCTTGCAAGGGAGGAGGCCCAAATGCTCTTCCAGAATGCCCAAAATTACCTGGACCCATCCCAGAAGGTATGTACCTAAATTGTTGGTCTCCCAGGTACTGCAGACCATTACTAAGAGGCACATTAAGGGTATGACCGTTAACAATGGGCTTGATAAGAGTTATGGGGGCTGTTTGGTACTGGGGATTGTTTTCCAGGCTTTGCTTAATCCCAGAAGGGTAGTAATCTCCTCTGAAGAGTCCTGGTTCTAAGGCTTCCCCAAGTTGCGAAGGGTAGTAACCTCCCTGGATGTTACCAACTCTAGACAGTCCAGGCTCTAAGGCTACTCCGAGTTGTGAGGGGTAGCTACCCCCTACTCTGGATAGTCCTGGTTTCAAGGCTCCCCCGAGTTGTGAGGGATAGTAGCCTCCCTGGATGTTACCTAGTCTAGACAGTCCTGGTTCTAAGGGTTCTCCGAGTTGCGAAGGGTAGTATCCTCCTTCTATCACGTGGTAGCCTCTGAGGGGTACGTTGGAGGCAGCGGTTTTCATCACGTCTTCTGTTTCGTACCTGTATTTGTATACGGGTTGTCCTGCCAAGGTCGTTTTCAGTAGCAGGAGGATGAGGGTAATGCTGCGCATTTTGTTGTTATTGTTGTTGATTGATGATGAAAACTGTTCTCGATTGAGTTTAATTAGGTATTTATATTTATTTGGTCGATTCGTCAAGTGCTGTTGTGGTTGAATGGTTGTGGAATGGGTTGAGAAGGTACCAGGGTTACTGATGTGGTTATTGAGTCCGATTGGCATACTTTCCTTTTTTCCGTTTTTTTTTCTGTATCGGAATGTTTTGTTGTTTTCGAAATCCTCATGACTTGCGTTCGGATTGGTGGTTAAAGAATGACGAAGCGATTTTTGTCGAAATGATATGTATAGGTTTCCTATTTCTTGTTATTTTCAACTCTAGGTTTCATGATTATCATTAATTGTTTCAATGTAACTATGTGATCTTTTATATCTATTTATAATAAAATGGTTGAAAAATGTCATTATAGTACGGGATCCGACTGCAAAGAGTTACAGGGTCAGTTGAATTATAGAAAAGTTGCGCAATTTCATGCCTAATAGAATGTCATTTTGAAATTTGAAAAATTCCGAATACTTCCTATGTTATGAAAAGGAATATTCTCAGATATCTGAGGCGATCCATCTTACAGTGGAGTGAAGGCAATTGGACAGGACAAAATTCTCACAGTCGACTCCACCAAAGCTATACTTTATTGTAAGCAATCTTACAGGGACATGTTTCGAAGCTTTAAAGCTTCATCATCAGCGTTATTGTTACATAGGAGTACTAAAGTGAGAGAAAAACAAAGAACAATGTCAGACAAACTCCTCAACAACGAAAGGTCTAAATAACTCACCTGTTCTGGAGGAAAAAAGTTATGTTTACATATTTATATTATTGAAAAATGTTTTAGAAAATTTATAAAAAAGTTGAATGGGGACCGCAATTATTGCGGACGTTGACATGAAGTGGCAGAGGTGACCAAGTAGAGTCATCTTCAGTGCTATACACTGCTCGCCAACAACCATGGACCCACCCCAATTTCCGGAAAATGATATTAGGAGTCAAAATAGGTCGAGAATCACCTCAGATTCGGAATCAGGACGCCCAATTCACTAACTATTTTTCCTGCAAATTTCAGAGCCCTACCTCAATAATTACGTAAGATACGGGGGTGCCTCCATGAGAAGTGAGACAAAATTACATTTTTCTGAACTGAAAATGTTTTCGGATAACTACGAATAGTGAATTGGGCGTCCTGATTGCGAATTCAAAGTGATTTTCAACCTATTTGGACTCCTAATATCATTTTTCGGAAATTGGGGTGGTTTCATGGCTGTTGGCAAGCAGTGTATAACACTGAAGATGACCCCACATGGTTATAGAGTGCATTTTTGGTATATCTCTCGCTCTAGCAAATTTCAGGACTCTTACCCAACGATTACGTAATAACAAGGGTGTTTCCATTAGAAGTGGGTCACACTGTATATACAGTGTGTCCACCTTAAGGACTTACCACCCCTGTATAATTTGTATTATCTGACCGATTTCAAAAAACTTTTTTTTGTTGGATAGGTATTTGAAATGTCCATCCAACAAGAGAGTGATTTTACTCATGAACTGTAATCGTGGCCAACTGCGACCAACTTTATTGACCCATATTTGAGAAAGTACTATTAGGGATTTTTTTTCACAAAAAACAATGATGGATTCTGAATCACGATCACTTGAAAAACACCCTTACTGATTTTTATCATCATAAAACACAGGGTGTCCGAAAAAACGAATTATGTTTTTTTTTCAATAGGTGATCAGAAAATGTAGTATTGTGGTATTTTTGAGAAGAATTGATGACACATTATTATTGATGATCACTTTGAACATATCTGTACCGATTTTCATCATTCAAAAATACGATGTGCATGAGAAAACAATTAAAAAGAAAAAGTAGGTAATATTTTTTCATCAACTCAAAAAAAATATCAATTTGATTTTTCGAACACCCTGTGTTTAATGATGATGAAAATCGGTACAGGTATGTTCCAAGTGATCCTGATTCATCTTTTTATTTTGAGTGAAGAATTATCAGGATGAAAAATATTACTTACCTATCCTTTTTAATTTTTTTCTCAGACACATTGTATATTCAAATGACGAAAATTGGTACAGATATATTTGAAATAATCCTCAATGATAATTTGTAATTATTTCTTTCTAGAAAAACTACAGAACTACATTTGCTGATCACCTATTTGAAGAAAATGATTATTCGTTTTTTCGGACACCCTGTGTTTTATGATGATGAAAATCGGTACAGGTATATTTCAAGTGGCACTGATTCAGAATCCATCATCAAGTTTCGTGAAAAAAAATCCCTAATAGTACTTCGCTAACAGTCCAAGAATTAGATCACTCTCTCGTTGGATGGGCATTTCAAATACCTATTCAACAAAAAAAGGTTTTTTGAGATTGGTCGGATAATAACGATTTTACAGGGGTGGTGAGTCCTTCAGGTGGACACACTGTATAAAGAAATACATTGAGAATTCGCATTCTCTATTTGAAGAAAATATCAATTCTTTCTCGGTTGATTTAACAGCAAAAAAAATTTGTTCGAATAATTTGCAACATTCGAAAATGACAGTTGACAGTTTCTATAATTTACAGGCCAGGAAGATCTCGAATGAAGGTGTGTTTGAAAAACTCTGTTGCCATAGTAATCTGTTTGAGAAATTGTGTTGCCATGGTAACGTGTTCAATATTTTGAATAAATCACAAATCGTCTTTACATATCCGTACGCTAAATGCCATTTTAACAATGTGAATTTAAAAAACAGTTTATTTTTATTTAGATCTAAGATTATTGACAATGAGTTGCTCGAGCTTTCGCCATTTCTCATTTGTTTACTTTATGAACGCAATAAATGAGTGTGATGAAATTGGCAAATCAATTATTGCACACTTTAATTATCTCATTAATGGCGTTGAAAATTTAATTACTCAACACCAAAAGTTTGTTTTAACCCGAAAACGAATGAGTCAGGTCACTGATTTTCTTGAAAGACAGGTTATTCTGAAGGTTTCAAGATATGGACAGTGACTCAGAAGAGTCATAATTCTGTACACAAATTAGGAAATATATTGATTGTGATAATTATTATTAGTCAATATTTACATTGTATGTACTTTTCATGAATAAGTATATGGGTGGGATCGAATTATCAATATTGCCTTGCAACAGTCATTTCTCAGAAGTCCTGATGATAATAAGTTAGTTATTGCTATTGATGATAAGGGGATTTATTCATTATACAGAATGCTTCATCATGGAGATAGCAATCATTAGGTCAAAGTTGCACACTTTCATACTGAACAATTTTATGAAATAAAACTTGATGTGTTATTTTTAGTTTTTGAATTATTGGAAATTTGAATCTGTCATCGTATTTTCCGAGACTTTCTTTTTTCTTATGGGAGTCATATTGGTTTTTCGCATTCTTGTTATTGTGCAACTATATTTTTTTTCAACTGCACAAATTTGAAGAATAAGACTTAATATTTATTTTTATGTCGGCCTCTAGCCCACCCTGTAGAATTTATGGTACATTGTTCTGGGACCTTGGATAAGTATTTAAGGCACAGATCCGACCTGTCCTAGAATACTGTTCCCATATTTGGAGTGCAGCACCCAAACATACCCTGAAACTGTTGGATTCGTCTCGTGGGTGATGCCTCGCTCACAAACTCACTCACTTCTCTCGAACACCGTATAAAAATTGGCGATCTGGCTCTATTTTATAGATATCTTCATGGACGAAGCTCTTCTGAAATATCAACAATTGTTCCTCCCTTGGCAGTCCCCGCGAGATTAACCCGTCGAGTTGAGGCTTCGCACCACTTCGTGGTCACATTGGAGACCTGCAGAACATCTCTTTCCAAAGACTCGTTCATTCAACGAACAGCGAGGCTCTGGAACACATTGCAAAGGGAGGTGTTCTTCGAGGCATATAACCTCCAGAAATTCAAGAAGAACACCAATTCCTACCTTATTTCCCTTGGTTCTCACGATGTTCTCTGAACATTACAGGATATCCCTTTTCGTGGGAACCATAACATTGAAAAAAATGTGGCATAGGCAAAATACCATGAGGAAAAAAAGTATTTCTCAAGCATGGTTTTGAAATTAGATAAGCCAAGAGAAATACGCTACTTTTCGTAGCAGTTGTAAAGAAAAAGTTATCAGGAGATTTGGATATTCCAAATTCTTCAATTCTACACTGCGAATTGACAATAATTACCAAATATCCTGATGAACTGAAGACATTAAACATACTCCACTAATTCCTTATATCCTGTGGAAATCCTAATGAATATATAATCGCGATCTTAAAACAAAGACCTCATTCTCAAGTACATTCCGTAAACGACAACAAATAGATCCAAAAATGTCGAAATTCCTAGTATTATTAGCAGTTTTCGTGGTAATTTTTGCCAGTGCAAATAGCCAGCTGATGCCGCTGATGGGCTCAATGGAAATGAGTCGAATGGGAGGCATAGGAATGAGAAGCATAGGAGTGGGAGGTTTAGGAATGGGAAGAATGGGTTTGGGGAGCATGGGAATGGTAGGCATGAGAACCATGGGAACAGGAGGTATGGGAGGAATGAAAATAGGAGTGAGATCAGTTGAGGGAATGGGAATTTCCAGGGTGGGAAGAGAAATTGGTGGAGGAGGTAAGTTTGATTTTGTTTATCGTAAGTATATTCATATTGCTTTACTGTTTTGTAGTTGATTTATATTTTCTTTTTTTTTATCGCTTGGAGCGCACGAAAGGAGATCCCTATAATGTTCAAAAAACATCGTGCGTTCCTAGGGAGGATAGGGACAGGAGGTAGGTATTGGAATTTTTTTGAACTTCTGGAGATTATATGTTGTTGGGAATACTTCCTCAGACAATGCATTCCAGAGCCTAGCCGTTCTATGGATGAAGGAGTTTTGATAAAGTGCTGTTCGACATCTTTCGAGGTTGACAACGAAAGGATGTGCTGACTGGGCTTGTCTAGTTCGTCTTACTGGTATTGCTAGTGAAGGGATGATAGCAGAGATTTCCGAGGAACATTTTCCGTGGAAGTATCGATAGAAAAGTGAAAGGTCGCCGACCTTTCTACAGTGTTCCAATGATGTCAAAGAGTGAGTGAGTGTGGCGTCACCCACCAGGCGAATGGCTCTTCTCTGGATGGAATC